TTTGTTAAAAATTTGACATAGATTTTTCTTGCTATTTCTAAAAGAGTAATTGGCCTAGTATTATTGAGATCACATTGTCATTTAGGTATTAGATAAATGTAAGCTAATTTCTATCTTGCAGGAATGTCTTGCAGAATTGTACAGATGTGAAAAATCTTGAAGAGTAATTTATAAGCTTTAGTGTGAAAATGTTTGATGTTTGATGAGTTCATAAGTAATGCCTGAAGGTCTAGCAGCTTTATTGTTTAGAAAAGAGTTGATTAGTTGGATCCATTCATTAAAATCAGGAAGGTCTAAAAATGAGGAGTAGCAATTTTTATCAATATAGTCTAAACTATCATAGTTTTGTTTCCATAGATTCCAGGAAGGGTGTGATTTTTTTTTTGAGTTTACTGAATTAGCTATCTTTTGAAAATGATCACTAGTATGTAAAAGAACATTGGAGGGGTCAAGTTCTAAGTATGGTTGATTATGTTCATCTTTGATAAGTACTCTATCCAGTATAATTGATGTTTTTCTTCTTTCGAGATAGGAATCGATCATTGCTGATGGATTATCAGTAAAATTATTTACTTATTGATATATAAAAGAAGCTATACGTTGTTAATTTTCCATTTTGTCCAGAAGTTTAATTTTTGATTTATATAGGATGATAGCTTTTTTGAGACTAGTCAGGAATGTTGGAAAAGATTTATTATTGTATGCAGATTTGATGTCTTGGGTAGGAATATTTTGTTCTATTAATTAGTTAATAATAGTGATATTTTTATTATGATTGATAATATTGAAATGCATATTATGATTGTAATCTTTGTAACATTGGTGTAGAATTTGTTGATTTTGTTAAGAGATTTATAAGAAGACTAATAATTATATAAGAAGTCAGTAGATCTTTGATTGGTGGTAGTGTATTTAGAAAAAGTATTTTTGGCTGCTTATATAATCATACAGCTGAAGGAATCCCAGATAGAGTTAAAATCGTTATGAGAAAAAGTATGAGAATCATCATTGAGAGAATGCAATAATGAGTCTTGGGAAATTAAATTGTCTAATTTAGTCAAGAATTTGTTCCACATTTCTTTAGAAGTTTTGTCATACAGAAATTTGATTTTGGTCAATTTTTTTTGTTTGAGTGAGACGTTAGTTTTTGATGAAAGATATTATTTTTGTAGAAAAAAGAAACCAATAGAGTATAATCAGATTCATAATTATATGAGTAAGTATTTAAAAAAGTTGAAAAGGTAAGATCATGAGTAAGGTTGCTGGACAAAATTAAGAGTTTAGACAGATGTCTAAATGGTAAAATTAAAACTTGGTTAAATTATATTAAAACCTTATTAAAAAATCTGCAAAATTTGGAAAAAGGTAAAACTATATCAAAGCTTATAAAAATGGCGAAACTATATCAAACACTTAGTAAAAATTTAGCGAAATTAAAGGTTTTACCATTTTGCCAAATCCAAAATGAGTTTAGACAAGCAACCTTAATTATGAGTGAGGGAAGAGAAAGAGAAGAGATAGTCAAGAGAAGAGAAAGAGTTTGTAGAAAAAAAGTTGATGGATAGGATTGATTAAAGATTTTTAAATTGTTTATTAAGCCAAGATTTTCAAGTTGAGTAAGGAAATATTGGTATCTTTTTTGTCTTATGAAGAATATTTACATTTTATATTGATGTTAAAATCACCATAACAATATAATGATAATTTTTTGATTTGGCTTCTAAGATTAGATCAAGAATCTTTTATTATATTTTAAGTCTATATTGATGATCGGCAAAAGTGTATGTATTAGAAGGAAGGTAAATTTGAATGATTCGAAGTTTTTGTTTGTTTTTTATTTGAAGATCTATGAAAATGATTCTGTCATAAAAGCCTTGATAATTAAAGATATATTAGAAATAGAGGAGTTGACAATAAAACCTACTCCTTGATAATTTTGTGAATGATTTTCATTTAATAAAATATATTTAAATGAAAGATCAGGTGATTTGAATTTATTGCAAATAGAATAAGATTAATGCATAGTCAGATGAGTTTCAGAGAGACCGAGGATATCAAAGTTATGAAATGAAAAAAATTGTTCAATTTGATTTCTTTTTTCATTTGAAATACAGTTTCTAATGTTATGGGTTGTTATTTTAAAATTGTTATTCTCTGTACTTAGCCTGTGAAAGAGAGATATGTTTATTTGTTGTGTAGTATTCATTGGGAAATATTAGAATGTGTTTGTAAAAATTGCATCATAATGTCTTTCATAATTTTGAGATCATTTTTTGCACCGCTGAAGTTATCTTGTAACATTGAGATTTGTCTTTTTTGTTTGTCGATCATTTGGTCACGTGATGTAGATGAAGAATGTGGTAAAATGGAGAAACGATTTGAATAGGAACGAATTCGTTTGGAGAGGAATAATCATTTTCATTGAGAGTAAAATCGTTTGATGACATATTATTTAAAGGAGTTGAACTGCTAATATGTAGTTGATTTTCAATGGTTTCAACTCAGGTGATGGTGTAAAATTGGATTTGTTTTAACTCGACGTATGCATTCTAAGTTTTGATTAATTCATCTTCCAGTAATTGAAATTTATTTTCCAAAGAGGTTAATTGTTCTATCATTGATTTAATAGCTGAGGCCAGTGTTATACAAGGACAATATCCGCATGATTTAATTTAGACTTGAACAATTTTGGACAAGTCCGGTGGTCTGTGTCTCATGATATGTCCAAATTAACAATTGTCATATAGACAGTTCAGATAAAATTTAATTGTCCAGGACATTGTCCAAATGTCTGTGTGATCAAATTTTTTTTCTTTGAACCATGCTACCATTACCTTTTATTTTAGACAAATATATTATTAAAACCAATGAAAAATAAATAAATGTAATATTAAAATTTATTGTAAACCCTGTATGAAAGCTTTAGGAGAAATTAAAGGGGCAAAGAAATGGTTTTCAAATAAAAAAGACCATATCATTGCACATTTAAAAAAGTGTTAATTTTATTGCTGAAATAACGCCTGAAAAAAGAGAACAAATTTTTGAATTAGTACAATATAATAATAATAATTCTAATTCACTACTTGGTAAAAGAAAAGGTAAATAAATGTTTCTTTTATTTTTACTATGTGGCATAATTTTTTTTTAATAAAATTCACTTGGCTGATTTAGTTGAAAGAATTATTTATTACAGTTTTTTTTTTTTTTTTTATAGAATCTACATTTTTTCATGAAACATCATCAATTTCGCATTCAACATCATCAATATCGCAATCAATATCATTGGAACCTAAAATAATACGATCATCATATGGACCAATGGACAATTTTATTATTCGGTCATTATCTTTTGAAGATATGAAAAATTTCATATCCTCCTTCTCTGACTTACACTTTCCTGTGGACTGCCTTTGCATTAGGTGAATAACCCCGAAACAGAGAAACTCTTTAATTTTCTTAACACATTTTTAAAACTTTCAGATCGTCGTATACTTGGTAATCAAATTTTAAAGGAAGCTGTTAATGAATCTGATAAAGCAATGTTATAAGCACTTCAAGAAAATCAAATAGGAATAACTCTTACCTTTGATGGATAGACAAACGTTAGAAATGAATAATTATTAGGTATAGTTATTCTTATATCTGAAGGAAGGCCTTATATGTGGAAAGTAATAGAAATTAGTTCAGAATGAGAAACCCATATAGATGTAATGGAAAAAACAAATAGTCTACTTACAGAATTAAATAACCAAAGAACCAAAGTTAATGCTATAGTTACTGATAGTGCACCAACTTATGCAGTATCTAGGTATGTTGATATTTTGTTATTTTTTTTAATTTATTATATATTTATTATATTATAAAATTAAATTATTTTAAATAGGCATTAATTAAGATTAATAAATACTTCAACGGTTTTTTTACCATGTTTTGCGTATCAAATCAACCTTTGTGTTAGTGAAATTTTCAAGGAATCAATAGAATTTAAAACATCAATTGATAAGGCAATTCGGCTTGCTACTTTTTTCAGAAACTCTAATAATAAATTTTTTATTGCAAAATTAAAAAATCAGCAATATGAAGAATATGGTAAATATTATTCAATTGCTATACCAGATAATACTCGTTGGAATAGTTACTATTAGGGTTCCTCAAAATCGAATCAAATCAAATATTTAAGCAATTTGAATTTGATTTAATTTTTTTAAATCAAATCGAATTGAATCGAATTGAATTCAAATATTTGATCGAATCAATTTAAATCAATTTGAATTTGATCGAATCGAATCAAATTGAATCAAATATTTGTCAA